CGGCCTCCGCGTCGCCGGCGAGGTCCGACGCGGACGCCGCGCTCCTCGACGACGAGGAGTTCTTCGACGCCGTGCTCTCGCCCGGCCGGCCGCCGTCGCCCCGCGAGGCGAGCCAGGGCTTCCGCGACCCGGCGCCCCTGGGCCGCCGCGGCTGCTCCGGGAGCCGGAACCCGCTCTACGTGAGCTCGCCGACGGCGTCGTCGCCGCTCTACGCGTCGCGCCGCGCGTCGCCGCGGACGCCGTCGCCCCACAAGGCGTCGCCGGGGTCCGCGGACCTCCGCGACCTCAGCGCCGACGTGCTCCTCGACATGGACCGCTACCGCGCGAGGCTCAGCCCCGCGGCGTCCGCGTCGCCGCCGTCGTCGTGCGCGTCGCCCGTCGCCGCCGCGGGCGCGGCCGCGCCGGACCTGCTCCGCGGCCTCCGCGCGCACCACCGCGCGCTCGGGGCCGCCATGGGCGCGGCGGAGCCCCCGGGGCGTCCGTAACAATTTTTCGAGCGTGTATTACGACGCGGGCCAGACGACGGACGCGACGCCCGCCGCGGCGACGAGGCCCCCGATCGCGGCCCGCCGCGCGCCGGGCCGCCGCCAGAGCGCGAGGGCCCCGTGGCACGCGAAGACGCAGGCGAGGCCGCCGACGGCCGTGGCCGCGGCGCTGAGGAAGACGAGGGACCCGACGCCCCGGCGCGTGAGGCGCTGGCGGCCCGCGACGAGGCGGAGCCGCCGCGCGGTCCGCCATGGGTCCAGCGCGAAGGCGAGGCCGTAGACGAGGTGCGCGAAACCCGCCGCCGCGCACGCGAGGAGCGCGCGGAACGCGCGCGCGTTGCGGCCCGTCACGCAGACGCCGAGGAAGCCGCAGTGGTGGCGGCGGCCGCGGACGCAGACGTCGCAGGACCGGCAGTGGTGCACGTCGTCGCCCGCGGGGCGGCACGCGCCGCAGACGACGCAGGCGTCGAGGGCCGCCGACCCGCAGGCGCCGCAGGGCGCCGCGAGGGTCGCGCGGCCCGCGCCGCACGGCGGCACGACGCCCGGGTCCCGGGCCGCGCAGCGCCAGACGCACCAGGCCGTCGCCGCGGCGGCGGCGTGGCCCGTGACGAGGAGCAGGGGCTCGACGGCGCGGCGCGACGCCAGGGCCGCCGGCGCGATGCACACGTCCGCGAAGACGACGAGGAGGGCGTCGACGGCGAGGCAGAAGAGCGCCGGCTCGGGCACGTCGGCGACGCGCGCCACCTCGCGCCAGGCGTAGCGTCTCGTTCGCGGCGCGTCGTCCTCGCGCCGGCGCCGGCGCATGAGCATGGGTGCGGAGGGATGGGTAGGACGAGAAGCTACGAGCAGCCCACCAGGGCACGACGAGCACGGTTGCTGGGCACGAACGCAAATTTACGAGCAGCCCTCCATCACATCATCGCAGCTTCACTGCACCATGCCGCGGTGCTGCCCCTCCAGCGGACCTGCGGGCAGCATGGGCTCGACGTTTTGGGCCGCCGCGGCCCTGCTGCCCCTGGTCCTGGCCTACGAGGTGAAGGAGGACGAATACGCCCACGCGCGCCTGCCGGGCCACGGCTACGACTCCCACAAGGAGTACCCGAGCCTGCCGAACCTGCCCTACACCGTCGACGCGACGCGGCTCAGCGACGGCGTGTCGAGCGTGTCGCCGCTGACGGGCACGGCGCCGGCCTTCCCGATCCACCGCGGCGACGTCTCCGACGCCCCCGACGGCCGCGCGGTGCTCGCGGCGGCGAAGCGCCAGTCCGAGGTCGACCAGGGCGTCGCGGCCGTCGGCGACGGCGCGTACGTCCGGGAGCAGCGCGTGGACCGCCTCGAGGAGGCCGGCGCCTGGGGGCCGGCGCCGACGCGCCAGTTCGTCGTCAACGCGTCCCTGCGCTGGAACCCGAGCTCCTTCGCGATCCAGCGGGGCGAGACGTACCGCGTCGACGTGCTCGGGCCGCAGCGCTGGGTCGACGGCTTCGTGAAGATCGACGCCGACGGCTACCCGGCCCACTACGACGCCATCAGCCAGTGCTGGGTCGCCGCGGGGCGCTGCCGGCCCTACCTCGGCGCGCGGAAGCGCCTGCCGGACGCGGACTGGTTCGCGCTCGTCTGCGGCGTGGGCGACTACGTCTGGAAGCTCCAGGAGGACGAGCTCGACCCGACGTTCCTCCCCCTGCGCGAGGCCGAGGTCTCCGCGACGCTCTTCTTCGTGGGCCACTACCTCGAGTTCACCGCGGTCGACGACGGCGAGCTCATCTGCTTCGCGAACGACGCGGACCACCTCTACTGGAACAACCAGGGCCAGCTCGTCGTCGACGTCGCCCGGACGTCCTGGCCGCCGACGCGGTACACGAACTACGAGGCCTACCTCTCCGAGTGGCGCTACGAGCCCTAAGAGTTTTGGTTTCACGGCCGCGTCCCGAAGCGGGATCGGGTGCGATCGCTCTTGGGAGATCGCCTCGGGAGTCGCCTGGGCTCGCCGCCGGGATTTTGGTGAGAGCGGCCATTGGGAGGGCGCGTGGGGCGGAGACGAGGTGGCTTCAACTTGAAGTTCAAGTTGCTCGCCGGGAATCTGCCGTCCCGCTCGGCACGGGATCTCGAGAATCACGCGCCGTCGCGGGCCCGTCGCGCGTCGCATCGTCGATCCCGGGTGATTTGACGACTGCGTACTACGCAAAAGCAAGCGCAAACCAACCTGCGCAACCAGCAAGCCGCAACTCCCCCGCTTCGACCATGCATCGCAACCGCCTCCTCTCTCTCCTCTCCATCGTCGCCGTCGCCGCCGCGGGCTCCGACTGCGTCGACAAGTCCGCGAAGAAGTGCAAGAAAGACATGAAGTGCCGCTACCACAAGAAGTCGTGCGTCCCCCTCGACTGCGCGGCGTTGTCGAAGAAGAAGTGCAAGAAGATCGCGAAGCGGGGAAAATGCGCGTACGAGAAGAACAAGGCGTGCGCGCCCCCGGCCACCGCACTCACCGACAAGTGCGCGAAGAAGGCCGAGGGCAAGTGCAAGTGCAAGAAGAAGCGCTGCTGCGCGTGGACCGGCGCCGCGTGCGCGGCCGATCCCTGCGCCGCCCACTCCAAGCGAAGCAAGTGCCTCCGCGCGGGCCGGCGTCCTGCGGCCGCGACGATTTTCGAGAGATCTAAACCACGGGGACTCAGGCAAGGGCTGCGCCTACGCGAAGAAGCGGTGCTCGTCGCCAGGGGCGGGCGGCCTCGAGGAGTCCGACGAGGACTCGAACAAGCTCGTCGAAACGGCGGTCTCGCCGACGCCCGCGCCGACGCCCGCGCCGACGCCCGCGACGCCCGCGCCGACGCCTCGCCCGACGCCCGCGCCGACGCCTCTCCCGACGCCCGCGCCGACGCGGTGGGCGCCCGAGCTCGAGGCCCTCGCGGACGTCACGGACAGGGCCGGCGCGGCCGTCGCCGTCGCCGCGTCGTCCGCGCCCGCGTTCGCCGACGTCGACGGCGACGGTTTCGCGGACCTCGCGCTCGGCGGCGCGGACGGCGTCGTCGTGCTCTACCGCGGCTCGGACCGGGGCTTCGCGCGCGACGGCGAGATCCCGGGCGCGAACGTCGGCGTCGACGCGGTGCCGAGCTTCGCGGACGTCGACGGCGACGGCGACCCGGACCTCGTCGTCGGCTGCAACGCCGGCGGCGTCATCCTCTTCCTCAACGAGGGCGGCGTCTTCGGCGCGGGGTCGCCCGTCGAAGCCGACGTCGCGGGCTTCAAGAACAAGGACATCGACTCCGGCGCGCGCAGCGCGCCGGCCTTCGCGGACCTCGACGGCGACCTCGACCTCGACCTCCTCGTCGGGTCCCGGGGCGGCGTCCGGCGAGACGAGAGTACGAGACGCGCGCGACGAGAGTACGAGACGCGCGCGAAAGGAGTCGGACGCGCGCTCCTTGTCGCGCGCCGGGAACCCCTCGGACGCGCGCGCTGTTCTTCGCGCGCCGGCAAACCCCACCGCCGTCGCGCAGGTCCCAGAACGGGTTCCTCGAGCACTACGAGTCCAACGGCCGCAAGTTGGCGTTCGTCGGCCGGCTCCTCGACGCGTCCGGCGCGGAGATCTACGGCGGCCTCCGCACGAGCCCGGCGGTCTTCGACGTCGACGGCGACGGCGACCCGGACCTCGTGCTCGGCGACGAGTCGGGCGCGCTCGCGTACTACGAGAACTCCGGCGGCCGCGGGCCCTTCCGCTTCGCGTACGCCGGCGACCTCGCCGCGGGCGACCGCCTCGCCAAGCCCGCCTTCCTCGGCGCCGGCGACGCGCCGACGCTCGTCGTCGGCGGCGCCGCGGGCGCGCTCGCGGCCTACGCAGCCCCGCGCAAGCCCGGCTGGACGCCCGCGCCGACGCCGACGCCGCGCGCCACGACGACGACGACGACGACGACCGCGCCGGACGACGACCTCATGAACGACGGCTTCGGCTTCGGCTTCCCCTGATTCATCCTGAAGCGAGCCCCCCCCCATCTAAGCACCGGCGGAGGCGTGTACGGGCGAGCTCGGGGCGAGCGGACGCTCCGGTCGTCCGATCTGCTGTCAGCGAATTCAACTCCCTCGAGGTGTCGAAGCGCTTCCCCCCCGCCGTCGCACCTTCTCGTCTCGTCGAGGGCACGGCGCGGGCACGGACTCGGCGCACGACGCTTTGTCGACGGGCGCCCACCGTCGGTCTTCGCCTCCTTGGGACGAGCGACGCGGACCTCGGGCCCGCGCTGGAGCGCGTGCTCTGCTCCGCGAGAAAGTGGAAGGGTAGATCGCGATTTTAATTTACGCGTGAGGCGGAGCACGGTCACAGGTGCGCGCCACTCGACGCGCGCGCGCGTTTTGCCCCCGGCCAAAAAGTGCATACTTGATTTATTTGAGAAGCTTGCGGCGACTGCTGATCTGCTCACCCTTCGACACGCCGCACGCGCCGTTTCGGTACGTGCGCTTCCCCCCGACGCCCTCACGCCCGACCCGACACCCCCTGAAAAGTCCCTGAAAAGCGCTCGCCTCTTGGTGGGGCGCCCGGTGTTTTTTCGGTCGATCGCCGCCTTTGAACGTTCCTCCCGCCGCTCCGGCCCCCCGCCGAACCTGCCGACCCCCCGCCGCGCGCCCCACACGCCCCCGCGCAGGGAGCCATGCACGCCCTCGTGGCCGCGATCCTCTGCGCGGCCGTCGCGACGGCGGACGACCTCTTCGCGTGCGTGGACTCGACGTCGTGGGGCCGAGCGGAAAATGCGAAGCACGGCTGCGCCTGGGTCGCGTCGAAGCCCTTGCTTCGCTGCTCGACCAACGTCAAGTCCACGGCCGGCGAAACGTCCATCGAGGCCTGCCCCGCGACGTGCGACGCGTGCCCCGGCGCCGCCTGCGACGACTGGTGCGAGGACGTCGACTCGCCGTGGTCCGAGAAGTGCGCGTGGAGCACGTGCAAGGCGTGCGAGGACTGCGACGACATCGTGCCTTGCGCGGACTCGACGACGTGGGCCAGAAAGCAAAATTCGAAGCACACCTGCGGCTGGGTCGCCGGGAAGCCCTCGGCTCGCTGCGCGGTCAAGTTCATTTCCGCGGACGGCACGACGTCCAGCGTCGCCTGCCCCGTGGCGTGCGACACCTGCCCCGGGGAGGAGGAGGAGGACGGCGACGGGTGCGCGGACGACGACGACTGGTTCGCGGGGTCCAAGACGTTCCGCAAGTGCGCGTGGGTCGCCAAGGCGCCCGCGAGCCGCTGCGCGGACAAGTTCCAGTCCAAGGCCGGCGTCACGGCCATTGAGGCCTGCCCCGCGGCGTGCGACGCGTGCCCGGAAGAAGAGGAGGACGAAGAGGTGGACGGCGACGAAGAGGCGGACGGCGACGAAGAAGGCGGCGACGGGTGCGCGGACGACGGCGAGTGGCACCAGGGGACCAAGGAGGACCGCACGTGCGAGTGGGTGGCCGCGGCGCCGGACCATCTCTGCAGTGATGAGGTCAAGTCCGAGGACGGCGTCGCGGCCAGCGAGGCGTGCCCCGCGACCTGCGGCACCTGCCCGGAGACGACCTACGCGCCGACGCCCGCGCCGACGCCCGAGCCGACGCAAAAGCCGACGCCCGCGCCGACGCACGCGCCGTCGGAGGAGCCGTGCGAGGCGGACACGTCGGAGCTCGAGGAGGCGCTCGAGGTCTGCGAAGACTCGCTCGAGGCGTGCGCGGAAAACACCCTCCTCCTCCTCAACTGCCCCGAGGGCCACTCGTGCGCGTCCGGCGAGCCCGAGAAGTGCGCCGACGACGAGTACGTCAAGCAGCTCCGCTGCGCCGCGTGCCCGAAGGGCTTCACCTGCGACGGCGACGTGCGCACGGGCTGCGCCGCGCCCTTCATCGTCCTCGACAACGAGTGCGTGGCCCCGCCGTCCGCCGCGCCGACGGTGTCCCCGGCGCCGACCTACGCGCCGTCCGGCGCGCCGACCTACGCGCCGACGCCCGCGCCGTCGCCCGAGCCGACGTCGGCCGCGCCGACGCCCGCGCCGACGCCCGAGCCGACGCCCGCGACGCCCGCGCCGACCTACGAGCCGACGCCCGCGCCGTCGCCCGAGCCGACGCCCGAGCCGACGCCCGCGCCGACGGGTTCGCCGACCTACAAGCCGACGCCCGCGCCGACGTCGTGGTCCTATTCCTACAGCTACGAGGAGACCCTCGAGGAGGGGAGCGAGTTCTTCGGGATGGACCAGGAGTACCACGACTCCCTGGGCTGCGCGGGCATCTACACCAAGAAGAAGTGCGACGAGGACCCGCTCGGCTGCTCGTGGGACGGCAAGCGCTGCGTCGACGCGTCTCCCGGCGAGTTCGGCGAGGGCGACGCGGACTTCGAGGGCGAGGCCAGCGGCCCGAGCTGCGACGGCGAGCGGGGCACCGACTCCGCGTCGTGGTCGCTGAAGGACGATCCGACGAAGACCTGCAAGTGGGTGGGGAGAGACAGCGAGAAGCGCTGCCGCAAGAAGGACGCCGCGGGCGCCCGGGCCCACACCGAGTGCGTCCGCGCGTGCGAGTCGTGCCCCTCGGGGCCCAACGCGTGCGAGGACGACCCGTCGTGGCACCATGTCAACAAGAAGGGCAAGAAGGTCGACTGCCTGAGCGTCGCGCGGAACCCGGACCGGCGCTGCGGGCTCGACGGCGCGGAAGCCGCGTGCCCGGCGTCGTGCGGGGCCTGCTAGGGATCCTCGTCCAAGCCCACCTTCGAGAACCGCGCCCCCCCACCCCTCCCCCCCCAAGCTGCGGCGTCCGACCTAAGGCGACTCGCCCGCGCCCGCATTGCCCGGCGAGCCCGGCTGGAGCTTGTGGACCTGGAGGAGGTCGTTGAACATGGCGAGGACGTCGTCGGACTCGTAGGAGACGACCTGGTCCTCGAGGTCCGTGCGGGAGATGGTGTAGAACTCGGAGGCGGCGAGGGTGATGGCCGTCTCCTGGCGCACGCCGGAGCCGGACTGGAGGCAGAACTCGCCGAAGTGCTCGCCCGTGTTGAGCACGCCGGAGAAGAGCGTGTACGCGGGCCCGCCGTCCTTCGACTTTGCCGTCGCGAAGCTCCGCACCTTGGGCGTCGTCTTGGGCGTCTCGTCGCCGACGGCGCCCGGCGGCGGCGCCGCGGCCTTGGCCTTGGGCCCGCCGCCGAGGCCCGGCAGGCGGCCGAGCGCGGACGCGCGCCGCTTCGCGGCCGCGGCCGCGTCCGCGTTGCCCGCGAGGAGCCGGGCCGCCGGGTCCTCCGCCGGCGGCGCGGCGGCGGCGTCGCCGAAGAAGCGCGGCGCCGGCGCCGCCGCGGCCGCGGCGGCCCGCGCGCGCCGCTTCTTCGCGTCGTCGTCGCGGAGCTTGCCGTGGACGTCGCGGCCCTGCGCGTCGAGCACGGACGCGTCGGCGGGCGGCGCGAGGCGCACGGAGCCGTGGAAGATGAAGTAGACGTCCCAGCCGACGTCGCCGGCGGCGTAGACGGACTCGCGCGCGGGGCACGCCTGCGTCGACGCGACGGCCGCGAGGCGCCGCGCCGTCGACCGCGGCAGCGCCGCGAAGACCTTGACGCGCTCGAAGGCCGCGCGGTGGACGAAGAGGGCCAGGTCCATGCGCAGCGGCGCCGTCAGGTCCCGCGTGATGGCCCGCTCGTCGATGCAGAGCGTCCGCGCCCACCGGTGCCGGTGGTGCGCGAGCACCGCGGACCGCAAACTCGGCGGCAGGTTCGCGCGGCGCATGTGGGCCTCGTAGCGCTGGAGCTTGGCGTTGAAGGCCGACACGCCCTCCGTGTCGAAGGCCTCGAGGATGAGCGTGAAGGCGCCGATGAGGGACGCGAAGAGGCACGCGCCCGTGACGACGACCACCAACTGCCAGCACGTCTCCAGGGGCGTCACGGGCTTGATGTCGCCGTAGCCCACGGAGGAGATGGTCGTGATGACCATGTGGACGGCGCGGATGTAGCAGTCGGCGACGTTGACGCGGCAGATCGCCGCCTGGCGGTCGCTCGCGTCGTCGCTCGGCGTCGCGAGCGAGTCCTCCGTCGCCCACGTGCGCCGCGCGGTCGACGCCTCGAGGTAGCGGTGGATGGCGAACCAGACGCAGGCGTACCAGTGGTTCACGTAGCCGTAGCAGACGCAGACCGCGAAGAGGGCCTGCTCGGCCTTGGACGCGCGGACGCCGTGGCGGAGCGTCGCGTGGCGGAAGAGCGTCTCGAAGTAGCCGTTGAGCCGCGCGAGGCGCAGCAGCCGGTTGAGCCGGAAGGCGAGCACGAGGTTGCAGAGCCGGCGCCGGCGCGCGGCGACGACCTTGGCGTAGAGCACGGCGAAGAGCTCCAGCGGCGCGGCCGCGGCGACGTCGAGGCGGAACCAGCCGCTCCGCCGGTAGTTGCCCGCGACGCAGTGGCCGTCGAAGACCGGCGCGAGGCCCTGGGACGCGTCGTCGCTGAGGTCGCGCATGGACGCGCGCAGCAGGATGCTCAGGAGGAAGAAGACGTCGATGGCGTAGTCGGGGCCCATCGCGCCGGGCACCGTCGCCGTCAGCGCGTCGGGCAGCGTGAAGACCGCGCGGTAGGGGATGATGACGGCCTCGTAGAAGACGAAGAGCGCCGACGCCGTCTCCCAGGCCGCGCGGCCCGCGGACCCCTTGACGAAGACGCGGCTCAGGAAGAGGAGCGCGCGCGTCTTCGCGTCGACCTTCTTCTCCTCCTTGGCGTCGGGGCTCACGTCGACGACGCGGCTCAGGCGGCTCGTGAGCTCGCGCGCCTCCGTCAGGTTCTTGGAGATGGCGGCGTTCGTGTCCGCGTTGCGCCGCCGGATCGTGTTGAACATCTCGAGGAGCCGCTTCTGCGGGAAGCAGAACGCCTTGAGCTGTGCCTGGAGGTCCGACCGCGAGAGCCGGAGCGACTCCGAGAAGCAGGTGCACTGGATCGACGCCGTGCGCCGCACGTTGCTGAAGAGGGCGCCCTCGCCGAAGTAGCAGCCCGCCTTCAAGGTCGCGTAGATGGTCACGTTGTTCTCCGCGACGACTTGGACCGTGCCCGTGAGCAGGAAGTGCATGGCCTCGCCGTGGTCGCCGAACTGGATGACGAGGTCGCCCTCGCTGTAGGTCTCGGGCATGAGGTAGAGCGCGATGGCGCGCTTGATGACCTCCGTGCACGACTCGAAGATGGGGCACCGCGTGAGCACGGGGAGGCGGATCGCGACGCAGACGCGCGCGCGGAGCGTGTGCGGCAGCGTCGACGCGGCGAGCGACTCGCCCGACGCCGTGTTCGTGATGGCCCCGGACGTGTCCGTCGCCGTCGTCAGCGAGTTCATGAAGGCGTTGACGCGGCTCCTTAGCTTCAGGGGCACGCGGTGCTGCTGCATGTACTTCTCCAGGCGGTCCGCGCGGACGCTGAGCTCCGTCGAACTCGCGTCGCTGTCGGCGATGGCCGCCGTGATCTGGCCGATGATCATGGCGTTGATGGACATGCCCGCGGCGATGCAGATGAAGACGTAGAGCGTCTCGAAGCACGTCGCGGGCGTCACGTCGCCGATGACGACGACGACGAGCGTCGGCAGCGCCCAATTCAGCGCCCGCAAGTACTGCTCCGGCTGGTCCCGCGGCCCAAAGCCGCTGTGCAGCCGCAGGAACGAGTTGCCGATCTGGTGCCGCACCCAGGTGCAGCGCCAGACGTCGTCCGCGCGGTCGTCGCCGCCGACGTGGTGGTACCGCGCGATCGTGTAGAACGCGAGCGCGGCCCAGTGCGACACCAACACGACGGCGCCCAGCAGCCGAAAGAGCGTGCCGAGGCGGTTGCCCGTGTAGGCCTCGACGGCGTCGGACAGGGGCCGCGCGAGGTACGAGAGGTGGTTGAGCCGGACGACGCGCGCGGCCTTGGGCAGCCGCGCGAACGCCACGATCAGGGGCCGCAGCGCCGGGTCCTCGACGAAGAGGGCGAAGATCTCGTAGGGCGCGCAGGTCAGCAGATCGAAGGTCAGCCGCTTCGACTCGACGTGGTGGCGCCAGATCGTCTTCTTCTCGAGCTCGAGGATGCCCTGGTGCATGAACCCAAAGTAGAACGCGCAGAGGAACGCGTCGAGCAGCGCGACGACGTCGAAGAGCCAGTCGACGGCGTAGGACGTCCACGTCCGCGTCAGGAACGCGACGTGGACGGGCGTGGAGAACAAATGGTAGATGACGACGACGACCATGAGGCCGGACCAGCGGACCTGGCCCGCGCTCTCCGGGTCGCTCACGTGGGCCCGCAGGCCCCGGTCCAGGCGCGCCAGCAACCGGCCGACGCGCTTGCGCCGGCCGCCGCCGCCCGCGCCCAACAGACCCCCGTCGCCGCCGAAGACGGACCGCCGCGACGACGTCGACGACGCGTCGTCCTCGTCGTCGCCGAAGCCGTCGAGGCCGCCGTCGAGGGACGCCGCCGCGGCGTCGACGTTGAGCGCCGCGGCGCGGGCGTTGGCGGCGAAGCCGCTCAGGCCGCTGCCCGCGCGCGACCCGCGCCCCCCTGGCGACGCGGCGCCGAGCGTCGACCCGCGGCGGTCCGCCTTCTCCACGAAGGCGAAGCTCCGCTTCAGCGACACGGTGGACAGCATCTCCGGCGTCGTCGCGAGCTTGCGCGAGTCCTCGTCCGTCGCCAGCAGCGCGTCCTGCGCCGCGCCGACGCGCCTGTGTGGAAACCAACCACTGGTTTGGGGGGTCCCCACCAAACTTCAGAACTCTCTATCTCGGTCAAATCGAAGTCGATTCGGCTGATTTTTGGACGAATCGATTGCTCTCATCGAGCTCTCGAAGCACAGCAGAAAACCTCGCGTCAGAACGGTCGCATACGCGCACATTGAAGTCGGGTTGAAGATTTGATTTCCACACAGCGACGCGCCGCGCGAACTGGCGGTCGTGGTGCGCGCGCGCGATGTTGCCGAGCATGGCGTCGAGGAGGCGCCCCTCGGCGTCGCAGGTGAGCCGCAGCTTGTCGCGGATGATGGCCGCCGACGAGGGGAAGCCCCGGAGCACGTCGAAGTAGCGGTCGCGGTGCAGCTCGAAGCAGTCCGCGTAGCTCTGCGCGATCGTCGACGTCTTCGGCGCGCACCGCCGCGCGTCCGCGGCGGCCTTGGCGCCCTTCTCCGGGTCGCCGTCGTTCGCGGTTGCCGGGTCCTCCTCGGGCGCGTCGTCGCCGCCGTCGCCGTCCTCGCCCCGGATCTTGCGGCGCACGGAGCCGACCGCGGACTGCCACTTCTGCCGCGACGACGACGACTGCGCGCGCGTGTCTAAAAGGCACTCGGCGCCGAAGTAGTCGCCGGCGTGGCGGCGCATGACGGGCGTGCAGACCGCCAGGGGCACGGGCGCGTCGTCGACGGCGCGGCGCACGGCGATGGCCTTCTGGGACCGGCGGTGGCTCCGGCTGCCGAAGCGCTTCTTCTTCTCGTGCTGGCTCGCGCGCTTGCCGCGGCGCGGCCGGTCGCCGCCGACGCCCGAGACGAGCTTGCCCAGGCCCGACTTGCCCCGCGCCGCCGCCGGCGGCGGCGACGCCCCGCGGTCGCCGGGCGCGGGCGCGGCCGCGCGGCCGTCGGGCGACGAGTCGCCCGTCGACGCGCGCCGGTTGCCGAAGCCCAGGGTCCCCGACGCGGACCGGGCGATGAGCGACTGGCGGAAGCCCGGCGAGCTCGGCGCGCCCTCGCCGTCGGTCGGCGGCCGCCCCGGCGAGCTCGACCGCCGCGCGAGCTCGACGTCGCCCGGCGCGTGCGTCGGCGACGCCTCGGAGCTCCGCCGCCCGCGCGGCCGCTTGCCCGAGTCGCCCGGCGACGGGGCGGCGTCCGGCCCCGCGGGCTTGAGGCCGACGAGGGGCTCGGGCCGCGGCTTCCGGGGCCGGTCGTCGTTGTCGGCCGCGTTGAGGTCGCGGCCGAGCCGCGCCTTCGGGGCGACGACGTCCGCGAGCGGGTCGTCGCCCTGCGAGTCCATGGACGTGAGGGAGCCCTTGCGGTCGCTCGGCGAGCTCGAGTTCAGCGACAGGTGGCTCGGCTTGCGCTCGCGGTCGTCGTCGGCGAGCGACGCGGCGGACCGCTTCCGCTCGTCGCCGTCGTCCGCGGACGCGAGGCGCAGGTCCAGGGACGGCGCCGACGGGTCGAAGGTGCGCTTCTCCGTGGGCTCCGGCGGCGGGTCCAGCCGCTTCGAGTCGCGCCGCGCGGGCGCCGCGGCGACGGGCCGCCCGCTCCGGCTCCGGCCGCTCGACCGCCGGCCCCGGTCGTCCTCCGACGCCGCCAGCGCGAACTCGTCGAGCTGGTCGAGGAGCGCCTCCTGCGCCTGGGCGAGCTTCTTCATGCCCGCGCGCGCCGCGTAGAGGTCGACGTCGCCGCGCTCGATGAGGAACATGGACAGCCGCGTCAGGTCCCCCTCCGCGAGGATGACGTCGCCGGGGATGAAGACGCGGGGCTCCAGCCGGCTCACGAGCTCCTGGCGCGCCACGTCCTCGACGCCGACGGCCCGCCCGAAGAAGGGCGTCTTCAGGAAGGAGTCGCCGATGGTCTTGTTCAGCGCGCGCCGCCGCAGCGGCGTCGGCAGGTCCGCCAGCACCAGCAGCTCGTCGGCGCCGTTCTGGCGCGTCCAGATGTAGTTGTGGTACTGCAGGAGGGCGTGCTGAAGGGGCTGGTTCAGCTTCTGCCGCTGCATGGACAGGCGCAATTCGGAGAACTTGGCGCGGTATTCCCGAATGTCCTTGTTCAGGTCCGCCATGAGCGACGCCAGACCGCCGACGATGGCCGGCAGCAGCAACCCCCCGAACAAAATCATGCAGCTCGAAAAATTCGTCTCGAGCATGTTCGACGGGTCGGGCTTGATGTCGCCGTAGCCCACCGTCGACATGCCGACGATCGCGTAGTAGACGGACCGCAGGTACGTGCAGTAGGCGACGGAGCCCGACGACGCGCAGGACCGCTGGTTCCAGCCCGACGTGTCGTAGCGGGCCCGCAGCGCGTTGCGCGGCGACGTGTTCGCGCCGACGTCGCCGAGCGTGGCGTTGTAGCCCCGGTCGATGAAGATCCAGGACCGGCGCTTGTCGTCGTAGTAGCGGATCGACGCGCGGCCCGCGAGAATCCACGCGCAGCCCATCCAGTGGCAAAACAGGAGCATGCCGCTGTTCAACAGCGTGATGCGCTGCATGTTCTTGGAGATCTGAAACCGGTGGGCGATGTAGTCGGCGATGAGCGCCGTCTGCGCGCCCGCGCGCACCGCGAGCACGGGGATCTTCGCCGCGCGGAGCAGCGCGAACCACGAGAGCTTCGAGTCGCGCGCCGCGGGCGACAGCGCCAGCGCGTCCCAGGGGAAGAGGCACAGCACCTCCAGCCCCCAGAAGCGGCTCTTGCGCAGGATGCGCCGCAGGCCCGCGCCCTTGGTGACGAGGACGCCGCTCTCGAGCTCGGAGAGCACCGTCGCGCGCAGCGCCATGTCCGCGGCGAGGTAGAGGTCGACGACATAGAGCGCGAGGAAGAGCGTCTCCTTGGCGCCGACGCGGCCGCCCTTGAAGGTCTCGCTGTAGCAGGTCTTGATGGCCAGGGGCGTCGCGACGGCGTAGAAGAGGAGGCAGCAGAACTTGGCGCTCTCGACGACCTTGCGCGCGCGCGTGCCCGGCCGGTGCCAGACCTTGCGCTTCGCCGAGTGGAGCGACATGGACTCGGCGACGGGCGCGTCGCCCGTGCCGTCGCCGGCCCGGGGCGCCGGCGCCACGCTCAGCGTCGCGCGGCCGCCGCCGGCCGCGGCGCCGGCGTCGCCGGCCGCGGCCGCGCCGTCGCCGAGCGCGAGCATGTTCGACGACGAGCCGTTGCCCCGGTTGCCCGAGTTGCGCAGGGGCATGACGCGGCCGATGCGCGTCGTCAGGGACCGGCCCCGGTTCTTGAAGGCCGACGACATGGACATCATGGACCGCTGCTTGGGCTCGCGCGGCTCCGCGGCCGCGAGCGTCGCGCGCGCGCCAAAGCCGCCGTGGAGCATGGCCTTCATGCCCGCCGTCGTCGGCTTCGCCGCCAACGACATGCGCTCGAGCTGGTCCGGCGTGCACTGCTCGCGGCAGACCGTCATGAAGACGCGCCGGAGCAGCCAGAACATCTCGCAGTACGAGTGCGCCTGCACGAGCACGCGCGACTGCTGCACCTTGAAGAGGGACCCGATGCCGAAGTTGTCGCCCGTGCGCAGGCGCACGAGGCCGTGGGGCGCCCGCAGACTCGCGTCGTGGACGTCGTGCATGCGGCTCCGCACGTCCATCTCGCCCGACGCGATCAAAATCGCGCCGACGATGCGCTCGCCCGGGCGGATGACGTCGTCCTGGGGGGCGTACGTGTAGGCGTCGAGCTTCAGCGCCAAAGCGTTGATGACCGCGGCGTTCACGAGATGCTCCTGGAGCGCCGGCAGGCGCCGCAGGAGCACGGACGCCCTGACCATGGCCGTCTTCTGCCGGAGCGACGCGGGCAGCTCCTCCTCGAACTGGTCGATGTCGAGCCCGTGGAACGACGCCCACTGGTTCTCGACGTAGCCGATCATGCGCTGGGCGATCTTCTCCGGCAGCTTGCGGTAGCTCACGTACTGGCGCAGGTCGTCGAGCTTGTCGCGGTGCGCGAGGCTGGACGCGTTGCCCGACATCACGAGGAGCGTCAAATTCGCGATGGCCGCGCAGGACACGGACATGCCCACGTACATGCTCAGGATGCAGGCGATGGTCTCGAAGCGCGTGTGGGGGCAGATGTCCCCGAAGCCCGTCGTGATCATCGTCACGAGGGCCCAGTAGTAGGCCCGGCTGTAGCAGTGCGCGACGGACCGGAGGCGCCGCACGGTCCGCGTCGCCGCAATGGCCGTCGCGTTTAAAGTGGCGTTGACCAGCGCGTCTTCGTAGACGACCTCCCAGAGCCCGTCCTCCTCGGCCCAGGTCACGTCGGACCGCTGCCGCGCCCACTCCCGGGGCGCCTTGGCGTCGACGCGCGACGCGAGGAAGAACGCGCACGCGGCCCAGTGCGCCGCGACGGCCATGATGAGAAAAAAGAGCCACATGCGCAGGGGCCCGATCTCCATCTTCGCGTGGTGTTCCAAGAGCGCGAAGACGAGCCGGATGCACCGCGGCGCGTCGTAGAGCCGCGCGAGCCGGTTCACCTTGAAGAGACTGAGGCTCGCGGCGCCCGTGCGCCGGCCCCAGAGCTCGAGGGGGAACGTCGCGACGAGGTGGTAGAGGAACCCCTTGAGCGTGCGCCGCTCCTGGAACCGCTCGCAGGCGCCCTCGCGGCGCATGAGCCGCTCCAGCGACCCGAGCTCCTGCGTCGACCCCATGCGCTGCTCGGGCGCGACGCGGCTCTGGAGGTGCTCCGGGAGGCGCAGCAGCGTGTAGCCGCAGAGGTTCGGGTCCTGGATGATCCAGCGCACGACGAAGTAGACGTCCGTGGCGTAGTCTAAGATCCACCAGATGACGTACTTTTGCTCGAGCTGGAAGTGCTGCAGAAACGCGACGCGGAACGGCACGCTCCACGCGACGTAGAGCGTCGCGAGGCACATGGGCACGACGTCGAGCAGCACGCCGCGGAGCACGGCGTGGCTCTCCTTGCTCAGCTCCCGGTTCTGCGTCCGCAGGGACTGGTCCTCCTGGTAGCCCATGGCGGCGCGCGGTCGGGCTGCGAAGGGTCTCTCCTGCGAGCCCGCCGCGGCGCTGCAGCCCGCTGCCAACGGGCGACGGCTGCGCGCGGGCGCCGCAGCGCGGGGACCCGGACCCGCCGGACCCGGGCGGTCGGGCGCCGACTGCGGCGCTTGGCGCAGCGGTGGGCTGCCCAACGCTGGGCTGGCTGGTTCACCCCCGAGGAAACCGTTTATGGTTGAACATTTATATTGAACTTTATACGTCCGGCGGCGTTGTCGAGGATGACCGAGCGCTGCCGGAAGTCTTGACGCACGATGGCCAAGGTCGGCTACGAGGAGAGCGTCGAGGTCGTGGAGCTGCTGAAGGACGAGGCCGGTGGGCTGATGCATGAGCTGGGCATCTCCACGATAACGTTCTACAAGGGCGACGTCACGCCCGCGTCCGCGGCCCTGCGCGCGCAGCTGGCGCGCGTCGTCGCGGCGAACCCGTGGCTCGCGGGCCGCCTCGTCAAGGTCGCGGGGAAGGCGGCGCTGAGGCATCCCGCGGCGCCGGCGGACGACGCCGTCGCCGAGCTCTTCGCGGCCGGGGCCGCGGCGTACGCGCCGAGCCGGGGCTACGAGGCGATCTGCACCGAGCTCTACAAATCGAAGGCCAACACCGTCGTCGGGAGCGGCTTCGCGCTCCTGGGCAAAGACCTGCCGCTGGCGCGGCTCTCGGTCCTGGAGTCGTCGCCGGGCGAGTTCGCCGTCGTCTTCTCGCTGTCGCACGCCGTCGCCGACGGCCGGACGTACTACGAAATCCTGCGCATGCTGCGGCCGGGCGCGGACGTGCGGGCGCTGGCGACGCGGCGCGTCGCGGCCTTCCCCGAGACCATGCGCGACCGCTGCAACCGCGCGGCGCTCGCGTGGGTCGACGGGCCGGCGGCGATGTGCCAGATGCTGCCGCTGCTCCTGGGCTGCGGGGCGACGGCGCGGTGCCACGCCTTTCTGCTCGACGACGCGCGCGTCGCGGAGGCGAAGCGCGCCGGCGCGGCCGGCGGCGGCTACGTGTCCACGAACGACGTGCTCACGTCGGGATTCTTCGTCGCCTGCGGGACGACCGTCGGCCTCATGGGCCTCGACTGCCGGGGGCGGCTCGAGGGCGTCGGCGACGACCTCGCGGGCAACTACGTCACCGCGCTCGTCATGGACGACGGCGTCTTCGGGACGCCCGCGGACCTGCGCGAGATGTACGCGACGACGCCCTACGCGACGACGACGCGGACGCTGCCGGGCGCGTGCTGCGCGGGCAAGGTGAGCTTCGCCATGGTGTCGGACTGGGCGTCCTTCGCCGGAGACCTCGTCCCGCTCGACGGCTGCGAGCTCCTCGTCCACGTGCCCGTCGTGAACCCGGCCGCGATCCTCTGGGACATGATGATCCCCTTCGCGAGCGGCAAGGGCCGCGGCGTCCTCTGCTGGACCGTGTCGACGGACGAGGCGGGGCTCCGGAAGCACCTGCCCGTCGGCGGATCCGTCTCCGACGCTCTGTTCCCGAAGAGCTAGCGGCGCGACCCCGCCGACCCGACTCGTCCGTCGATCGCCGTCCCCTCCCCTCGCGACGCGATGGAGCGTCCGAATCCCCGTCCGCCCGCCCGAATCCCCGCCCGCGCTCGAGCCGCCGCCCCGCCCGTCGCCGACTCTACCCACATTCTAACGCTATACGCAGATTGACCAACTGCTAGCCGTGGCCCAATCGTCCGCCCGTGGGGCAGCCGTCTTCCCGGGCAAGATCCTGCGGCGCGTCGAGGTGACGCGCGTGCAGCTGCTCTAATAGCCGCGCAGATTACTTTGTGGGCTTCTTCTTCAGGCGGTGGCAGGACGCGCCGGCGGGTCCCATCGCGCAGACCTCGCGGGCCGTGATGCTTCGCATCTTGGCGCTGCCGTATTCGTCGTGGTTGAAGTTGTAGGGACAGAACTGGACCGGTACGGGTCGCGCCTGCTCGAAGGACGGAACGTATGCCACGGTCGCGGTGAAGCAGGCCACGGCGCAGGATCCCTGAAAGGCCCGGCCTTGAGTGTTGACGAAGTTTAGCGACATGCTCGGAAGCCGCGCGTCCGCGTCCTCCTCGTCGTTGTATTCTGTGAACTCGATATCGTCGACGGCAGACTGGCCGTGCGCCGAGCGTAGCAACGCGCAGAAGTCGAGCGTGATTTGCGGCGGCTTTTCGCTCAGAGCCGCGAGGACGCGATCGGGGAGCGCCGCGAGGAATTCCAAATCCGTTTCGTCGCTCGGCTTCTCGTAGCCCGCGAAGCCTTTGCATTGGCTCTTCCCTCGGAGGCAGAAGGCAAGCCAGACATCGTCTTCCCCGATGACGTCCCAAAACTCGTCCCAAAACTCGGCCCATCCCTCGTGGTCGTCGTCGTCAGGTGCTGTCCGTACGGACAGTCCGAGCGCGGCTTGGATTTCGGAAAAACCCGACGCTCCAAAGTCGAGGATTTCACTAGTATCGCTTCGCCTGTGCTCTGTCCGACCACTCCAAGTTGTAACGCAGTCGTACTCATGATCGATTCGTTGATGATGAATGACGCGCTCGTCGTATTTGTACAAGACGTGTCGCGCGATCGCGGGCACGGCGACGCGTCGCACGTAGCGATGGATCGCGCCGCGACACTTGTCCAGGTCCGGATGGAAGGCGTCGCGCAGCACCGTCGCGGCGCGCATGGCGACGGAAGCGCTCAAGCCCGGGTTGGAGTCCGGGGAGATTACACCTTGAGGGCTTTGGGGCCCATCGCTCACCATCTCACTCAACGTGGTCTCCGAGAGGCACCTCGAAGGGTTTCGCCGAGGCTCGTCGTCGCACACCATCTCACTCAACGTGTGCTCCGACAGGCACCGCGATGGATTACGCCGAGGCCCGTCGTCCATCATCGCTCGACGAGCTTGAAGCCTGTGGCACCTCAGCCTTCAGCGATTTGCGACGCTTCGAGACACGGCCACTCTTAGATATCTCTAGCTGTGGGGTTGCTCGCAGTGGTCCAGCAAAGACACTTATCCGCCCTCCGTCTCGCTCGGGAACACGCGCCGCTCCTCGGGCCCGACGTAGGGCCAGCGGTCCCGGGGCTTCCGCGCGTCCGCGTTCTGCGCGACCATGTTCTCCGCGTCCGTGAGGAGCTTCATCTTCGCGATGCGCGCCTTGGACGACTCGAGGCCCGCGCGGCCGTAGTCGTTGGCGTGGAACAGGACCCAGTTGTTGAAGTTCGTGCCGTACATCGCGTCCTTCGTGTGATCGTTGACGACGGAGTTCGTCGCGATCTCGGAGGGCAGCACGGCCCACTTCAGCCGCGGCATGCCGTAGACCCAGGGGTTCGCCAGAGCTCTGTTGATGATTCTCTGGTCGCCCGTCGCCCCCGGCCGGTTCTGCTGCATGATCTCGCCCGTGGTGCGGAAGACGTCCGCGACGGCCTTGTTGCACTTTAATGCCATGAAGCCGAGGTTGCCCTGGAGGCTCCGGTCCTCGTCGCGCTGGAAGACGATGTCGACGTCGTAGGGGTCGCCGACGCCGATGTAGGCGTCGATGACCGGCGCCATGGGTTTATAAAAGCGCAAATCCATGTCGGAGACGATGACGACGCTGTCGCGCGGGTTCTCGCGGATCGCCCTGAGCACGAGCTCGATCTTCGTGCCGAAGCGCTGCGTCTGGTCCTCCTTGCTCGCGCCGATGACCCACTCGCGGAGCACGACGTCGCTCGCCGCGTCGCGGATGCTCGCGACGAACTTGTCGCGCATGTCGCGCGACGCCGCGTCGCTGTGCGAGTAGAAGTAGAGCGGGATCGGCGCTTTCCGGACGGGCCGCCGCGGCGCCGCGAGCGCGAGCGCTTTGGCGCCGCGGGCGACGGCGCTCGGCTCGAGGGCCGCCGCGTGGAGCGCGACGTCCCGGAGGCAGCCGCGGAACCGCTCGCCGAGCTTGACTTCCAGCGGCGCGTCCGCGAGGGGGTGCGGCGGCGCCGAGCCCTTGTAGCCGGGCGAGCCGCCGGCCTTCGTGACCGCGTTGTTCAGAGCGCTGTCCCCCGTGCGGCCGCCGGACACGGTAAACGAGCCGGCTCGCCGCGCGCCGTCGACGTAGACGTACAACTCGGAGGTGCAGTGGGGGCCGACGACGGGCGACCCGTAGGGGTCGACGTCGTCCCGCTTGCGGTTCGGCGACGTGCGCTTCCGCACGACGACGACGTCGTGCCAGGCGCCGTCGAGCAGGTCCGCGCCGCCGTCGCCTTTCGGCGCGCGGAGCGTCGTGTCGCGCACGGGCCGCGCCTCCCCCCGGGCCGTGCCGGCCATGTCCGTCGCCGTGCCGAAGTCGCGGTGGCCGTAGCCGAAGAGGAGCGCCCCGTCGCGGGCGAGGCTCAGGCCCCAGTCGGACCGCGAGCCCTTGGCCATCGCGTCGTCGAGGAACGCGCGCCGCAGCCGGTCCTCGTCCGTGTTGCCCCGCGGCGCGACGAGCGACTCGCGGGGGCCCAGCGGGCCCGCCGTCCGCCGGCCGTGCCACCAGGCGTCGCGGTCCCTCAGGAAGCCCCGCACGCCGCTCGCGAGGCCGCAGCCGCCGCTGTGGAAGTGCCCGCTGTCCATAGGGAGTTCGCCGCAGGGGTCCCCGGGCTCCGCGACGCGCAGCGACAGCGACAGGCTGAACTCCGTGAGGCCGTGGCCGAACATGTTCAGCGCCGCGCGGTCGAAGTCGTCGGCGCCGTCGAAGCAGCGCTCGCCGTAGGGCTCCGCGACCGGCTCGGCGGCGCCGTCGGCGGCGCCGTTGCGCGGCGGCGGCGGCGCGTCTTTCGGCGCGGCGGCCAGCAGGGCCTCGAGCTGCTGCGCGCGCCTCCGGAGCGCTGCGATCTCCGCCGACGCCTCGGACTCGGCGCTCGCCGCTGGCGTCGTCGTCGTCGGCATGACGCGCCACTCGCCCCACATGACAAGCACATATGCGAAGAGCGCGCAGCAGACGAGCACCGTGGAGCGCGTCGACGCGGCCATCGGCCGCGACCGCGTCGACGCGTACGCGTCGGCGCAGCGCTTCCCGGTCGCGTTTGGGCAGCCCGCCAGCAGCCCCGCGGGTCAAAGCTGAAGTCTTATTGAGGTTCAAGGTTTGAGTTGTAGCTATGCAACTGCACCCTCGAGCGAAAGACACAAACAGCCCGTTACGTCGGCAATATGGGCAGGGCCAGCGTCCCGCGCCGCCGCGTCGGCGACGACTCGAGCCCCCGGTCGGAGACGCCCGCGCGCCTCGCGCTCCGCGGCGAGCCCGCGTCGTCGGGCCGCCCCCAGCGGAGCACGGCGAAGTGGGTCGGCATGTCCGGGTCCCCGACGTGCGCGTTGACCTCGCTGGCCCGCCGGAGCGCGCGGAGGTAGTCGTCGACGTCGCGCGTCGCCGCGAGCGCGACGGCCCGGGACCGGCTCGCGGCGACCTTCGTCGACACGTTGGGCTGGCGCCCGTTGGCGAGGTCCGCGTCCTCGAGGCGCGCGGCGACGGCGGCGGCGGCGGCGGCGACGACGAGCGACGTGGGCGCCCACGGTTCCACGTCGCCCGGCCCCGCGGTCGCGTCGCCGCCCCGCAGCCTCGCGACGAGGTAGCGCGCGGCCCCGGCGAAGTGCACGGCCTGCGACGACGCGGCCAGGGCCTCGACGCCGTCCACGAGCGCCGCGGCGTGGGCCGCGACGGCCGCGGGCGGCGCCGCGGCGCGGAGGACCCGCGGCAGGCCCAGGAGCGCGCGGAGCGCCGCCGCGGAGGCCTCGAGGCGGAGGCAGGCGTCGACGACGCCGCCGAGGAGCGCGCCGTGGGCCGCGAGGCGCGCGTCGAGCGGCGCGAGGTCCGCGGCCGCGCCGAGGACGTCGCCGGGCCCGCCGCGCTCGCGCGGTCGCGCGGCGCCGGGCGCCGACAGGGCGAGGCGGTGGTCGCAGGCGTAGGCGTCGCGCCAGCGGCTCTCCGCGGCGTGGGCGAGGGCGTCGTCGAGGAGCGTCGAGGCGCCGCACTCGGCGTTGAGCGGCGCCGCGGCGCCCTCGGCGGTGTCGTAGACGTTCTCGCGGACCATGGCCGGCCAGCGCCGGAGCGCGACGTCGTTGGCGCCGCCCGCGGCGCCCGCGGTCCAGAGCACGCAGCGGATCACGCAGGGCGCGTAGGCCGCGCGGCCGGGCCTCGGGGGCAGGAGCACGTGGAGCGCGACGGGCGGCGGCGCGGCGCCGCCGTCGGAGACGACGCGGAGCTTCTCGAGGTCGTGGACCGCGTCCTCGGCGAGCTTCGCCGACCGCAACGCCCCGGCGCCGTAGCGCAGCGTGCCGCCGCCCCAGGCGTCGGCGCCGCGGCCCGCGGCGAGCGCGACGAGCACCGCGGGCGCCGCGACCGCGTCGGCCGGCGCCGCGGCGACGGCGACGGCGTCGGCCAGCGGGCCCGGCGCCGCGCCGTCGACGGCCTCGGCGACGCCGCCGAAGGACGGCTCGTCCGGCGCGGCCCCGGCGCGGTTCGCGAGGTCCGCGGCGCGGGAGACGACGGCCGCGGCGAACGTCGCGGGCGCGGCCTTGGCGTCCGCCGCGAGTGCGCAGGGCGCGACGACGTCGAGCTGCGCCTCGACGAGCCCGCCGTGGTCGCCGTCCGCCGCCGGCAGGACGCCGCCGCCGCGGAGCGCGCTGTCGCCCCGGAGCGCGAGGTGGAACGCGAGCGGCCCGGCCGCGGCCGCGGGCAGCGCCGCGCGGAGCCGCGCGAGCGCGTCGACGGCCGCCGCCGCGCCCGCGCCGGCGACGGCGGCCCGCGACCCGTAGACGACGGCGCCCGCGTCCTCGGCGGCCCAGACCTTGGCCACCGTCGCCGCGTCGCGGGCCCGCCGCGCGGCGCCGGACACCTGCGCGCGCGGACGACGTGACGGGCGACGGCGCTCGAAAAAGACGCCGTCGCAAGACCGCGGCGCGCGCCGCGTTGGTCTCGCTCGCCGCGTGCGCCGCCGCCGCCGCCGTGGCGTCGTCGGCGTCGCGGAGCAGCCGCGGGAAGACGCGCGCGAGCCTGCGCGGCGCGCGCGTCGAGCGTCCGAAACGACGGGGGAGACGCCGGCGCGCGACTGGGCCGCCGCGTGCTGGCGGTCGCGGGTCACGTAGGACCGCGCGCGGAGCGTCTTCTCGTAGATGCGGCGCTTGAGCCGCGCGAGCCCCGCGACGAGCGCCTCCGCGGCCGCGGCGGCCGCGGCGGCCGCGTCCGCGGCGCGCCTCCGCTCGCGCGCGTCGTCGAGCCAGCGCCGCGCGGCGGAGCCGCCGCCGCCGCCCGTCGGCGCGGGCAGCGCCTTGAGGAGGCAGCGCCCGGCGGCGGCGCCCGGGGGCTCGCGCCCGAAGCGGTACGCGGCGACGGCGAGGCGCGCGCAGACGCCGGGAAAGAAGTTCGTCGGCGCCAACCGCGCGGCGGCGCCCGACGCCTCGAAGAGCTCGCGCTCCAGCGCCGACGCGGCGCCCGACGCGACGACGCGCGCGAGGCGCCGCCGCTTGTTGTCGCGGTCGTCGTCGCGGAGGCCGCGGCGCGGCGCGGCCGGCGGCGGCGCCGCGACGAGCCCCGCGCCGCGGAGCGCCGCGCGCGCGAGGCCCAGCGGCGCCGCCGGCGCCTCGTCGTCGTCGAGGCGCCGCCCGTCGAGCTTCTCGAGCGCCCTGACGGCCGCGTCGCGCTCCGCGGAGACGACGACCTTCGCCGCGCCCTCGCCCGCGGCGGCGCCCGCGGCGCGCGGCCAGCGCCAGGCCGCCCAGGACGCCTCCGCGTCGTCGTCGCGCGCCGCGCCGCGCGCGGCGGCGTGGGCCCGCTGGCGGCTCGCGTCGGCCTCGGCGGTCGCCTCGCGCGCGAGCGCCGCGAGCGCGGCGACGTCCGAGGCGCGCGCCGCCGCGCTCCGCCGCGCCTCCCGCGCGCAGGCCGCGCCGAGGGCCGCGACGACCCCCGCGGGCGCCCCGTCGTCCGCGCCG